TTTTACAGCATTTAATCTTTTTTTTTTTTTTTTTTCCAATTCAATTCAATTCAATTATTTATTTCATAATTCTTATATAATATACACTATAAAAACAAGCCGCTAGACACCCTAGTGGGTATATGTTGCGGTTTAACAGAAATCATTAAAATGACAACTAGACTACATATAAAAGAAAACACTTATATTATGTTACATGTAGGTATATAAAAATGGTATTAACAATTAATCTAAGGATGTACAATGTAAAAATGTTACAAAAATCGGGTACCAGTATAAAATCAACAGTATAGTATGATATTGGTATTATACATTATCGATAGATGAGTAGTTTTTTATATGAAGATTTGAAAATATTTAGAGTGGAGCATTTTTTAATATCATGTGGTAGAGCATTCCAAAGATTAGGACCCAGATAGCGAAGGGAAAGTTTAGAGCATTTAGGGATATGAAAATAATGCAATTGTCTTGTGTAATGATGATGAATATTAATGTTGATATCAAACAAGTCTTGAAATAGATTTTTTGGAAGACTGGGGTGCTTATTAAAGATTTTGTACATGAACTGACCAGTACAATATCTGTTGACATCAAAAATACTTAATATTCTAAGATCTTTAAATAGGGGAGCGGAGTGAGAAAGTCTATCCTTATTTAAAGCTAGCCTTAAGAATTGTTTCTGTAGTTTAGCAAAGTAATTGGTCTATAATTCTCAACTTGAGATCTATCAGACTTCTTATAAATTGGAGAAATGTTTCCAAGTTTCCAGCAACTAGGAAATTGGCCACATGCAAAAATCATGTTAAACAATTTTGATAACTGGAAGGATAAAGCTTCCTGGGAAGATCTATGAAGGTCTCCAGCCTCCCTCTATTGGCATTCTCCCTATGTTGATTTTAGCTGCTGCTGCTGGTGTCTGATGATGTCTAGTTGATGTAATTATTGATACGATGTGTAGAGATTTTTTGCTAAGAACCAAATTTCAAGTTTCATCATCCCTATTTTATATCATTGATAATCTAGAAGTTTGGATCAGTAAAAGATTTAAAGAGATTTGGCTCAACACATATACTTATCTGTTATCTCCATAAAACAATTGTGTCAGTCCCTGAGTACTGATTTGATGTAATTAGGTTAATATATCATGGTAATTAACAGTGGGTGGGATGCTACATCCTGCAAAAAATGTAAGTCAATAGAAAATAATTCGGTTCTTTTGAAAAGCATTCCTTGTTCATAGGTTTTCCCTACAGAGAGGTATTCCATCAGACAGGTTTTACTGTATTTTCATCCTAGAATCGCTCAGAATGCACCAGAATCGCCCAGAATGCACTAAATCAGCCCAAAACTCCTAAATTTTCCAGGGGAGCATGCCCTCTGGCTACATCACTCACAAGCTATTATTTTACAGGCCATGATAATTTGGCTCGAATTTTGTTCTGTCTAAATAAACTAACTAGTCATTTTAACAACATTAGGGAATTACTGGGCATTTTTTAAAATTTGGGCCCTATTTTCTTCTGAACAAGCGCGAAAATTTTAGGTCCCCTCGTTTTCGTGGCCACCCCTGGTGTCTTGTTAATAACACGAACCCTCGTGTGGTCACAATGTGAAGTTGGTTTAGCATGAAAACATTTTTGTGTGTGGATGGGGGGGGGGGGTTCGAGCCCCCCCCCCCCTAACCAAAACCTGGCTACGGGCATGGTAATCATGTACTTATGTACTTATACAATTTGTCAGTAAAAGTTATTTATCCTATACTTAGTGTTATAGGTAAATAACATGCGGGAATATAATCGATACCTTAAGTGAGTGGGAATCTACATGTACTGCATATATCTCCCGCTGTATCTCCAGGTGTATCTACCGCTCAGTAATCCCCTGCAGGAATTTCATTCAGTGCAATTTCTTATATTTTCGTATTTTAGTATATGATTAATCATTTTGGGTACAGGGTATAACCATTGGGAAATACAATATTCTACGACCCCTCTGGGAGATATATTGTATTTCCCTCAGATATATTGTATTTCCCTGTATCAAAAACCTCCCATTAATTAAACCTCATATATAATGCACATCATTTTAAATATGAATCAAAACTATGAATTAGTGATATCCATGTTTCTAATGAAAGCATCAATTAGAAAGAAAGAAACATTCTACTCATATGGTATAAATGTATTACCAGTTGTGTCCATTTTAGATTTGATTGTAGAACTTGAATAAGAGGCAATTTTGAAATTACAATATATTAAAAGAGGCTCTGTTTCTTATATAGGAGAATTAGCTGCATTGTTCAGTTTATGACAAAATTGATGTTTAGTGTTACTTTCATTAACAACCATCCTGTAAAATAACATTTGGAATCTAATTGTTTGTATATAGATGAATTAGATAGGGCAATGTCAAGGAAAAATATCCAAGAAGATCACTAGTTTGCCAATTTTTATGTTTGGAGATTGAAGTAATAATGATGAAAAACAAGCAATTTTAAAATATTTATGTTTTACCCTTTTTAGCATTTGTTTTGTCTGTTTTACTCTCAAATAAATCACGGTCATCAGTTCTATTGTGACAAAATCATCATTTACCAATTTTAAAATTAAATATTACTAGTTAGAGAACGTGATTTCTTACTTTAGGTTACATTTATATGCCGATTTATATGTATAATAAAAATTGATGAAGAAGAATAGAGATCCTATCCTATATGAGGTTCAGGGTATTGGAATTATCCTAAGGCCAATATAATGTATATGCCCGGGGGCCGTAGGTTCGAGGGAAGATATGTTATATTGGCCAAAGGCATTAGGTCCCGAGGGAAGATATATCATATTGGCAAAGGGATAATCCCAATATCATGAACTGACTCTATGATAATCTGTTTATCCCATATCAATCTTTCTCTTCTGTAGGCCGTATAAGGATTCTCCTGTCATTTAAGGTATTCATCCACATAATCTTGAACCATTGATTATTAACAAATGTATTAAGTATGCTACTTCCCTCATTGCTATTCACAAGAATGGTGATTATGATGTAGTGGGCAGGTATAATATATCTGCCCACTCAGGCCGGAACATAGCTATATCTGGCCGCTGATGAAAATATAAGTTTTTACGAACCTGCTTTGTCTAGGATTTGTCTAGGAATAATTTGAAGGATTTAAAAAACATATACCAAAGCACTTTTGATGGAATCATTGAAAAACAGCATCTCAGAAACATGTGTAAATTGTTTATCTTGCATTATTTTGGTAAATACTACGAAATACTAAGAAATTATACTGTACCTTCCAAAGAATAGCTTTTCTGTTAACTATGAGCCAATGAATGAATGGATGCATTTTATTATAACTGCAAAATGATGCTCTATGCAATTAATACGATAAATTTATTTTGCTAAATTAGAATCAAGTATTATCTTTAGTTCATTGGATAAATCATGCATTGCCTCATGTTGAGGTATTGATAATAGAATCAGCGAGTGTCTGACAAAATAGATTTATTAGTCTTATATATTAGGCAAAATATTAGGAAGGATATAAAGTGTCTCCCATCTTTCTAGTTTTGAGTATTACATCTTCTTGCTCTGATTCAAATTATCCTCGGCTACTATTTTTTATCCCTCTCTCCTTCCCCATTTAGGCCATGGATATGAAGATGATTTAGAGGTTATATGGAGGATACTAGTGAAGGGTTGATAGCCAGAGTTATGAGTTCATTTACGTTTACTCCAAGACATAAATGTTACGCAACTCACACCACCATCACATATCATACCCAAAGGATTGAACTGTTCATTATTACTTTTCAATTGCAGTAAACATGGTAAAATGGTTCTAAATATTGAACCCTGTTGGACAAACATATTAATTAATTGTAACTCATAACTCTAGATGACTTCAACTTATCCATTCATATTCTAGGAAGAAGTCAATGAATAAGTAAGACTTGACTCTTGTCTGACTAAAAAGACTAAGGGCCTATAAGTCTTAAGACTAAAAGTTCATTTGACCATTGATGACCTATGATAGGGAAAGGATAACACTTATATGAAATATTTAAAGTGTTTAATAATGATAATGGACATATTACAATATTACACAACATTAATAGATGCTAATTAAATGCCAATTATTGTTAGTGCAATTTGCATTTTTCATTTAATGCTGCAACAAGTACACAAGTACCAAAAAGTGCCACGCCCACTTTTCCCTGAAAGCAGCTATGTGTGACTATGTGTGATCAATATAATTGATTTATAGGATTATTATATGGTGGTGATTATTTGGTGGTATTAAAGTACCGCAATGGATTTTTTTTGGGGGGTATAAATTGGTCTTAGGGTCGTCTGCCAGCCCTATAGAAAGCCCAACTACCCAGAAAGTGTCCAGTATAATCATACAGATGGTTTGAAATAGGTTGGAATGCATAACCTTCCATGAAAGGAAGGTTGCATTTCTAGAGCACTTCTACAGAATGGGGGACAGTCTAATCATCCCATCGAACGAAGTTGGGACGGATATAGGGAACGCCTCCGTCCATCTGTCCATATATACAACCTTTTGTATGTCTGTATGTCTGTCCGTTCATCCAGGCAATAACTCAAATACAGTTGGCCCAATTTTGTTCATATTTGGTATGTGAATACTTTAAGTATGGCACACTGTCTAATGACACTTTGAGTAGTAGCTTATTTTGTAGAATAAACATGGATACTCATAGCAACAGTGTATCCGTTGCCATGCTGTTGATGTTTATAAACCAGTGACGTCACAAGTAAATCTGATCATGCATGTGTGACTTTTTAGGATGAAAGATGGCAATATCTTGCATGGGGTAAAGATGGCTGTATCTTTATTAGTCACTTATATACATGTCAAAGGTTAAGAAATTCACCCAAAACTAAATGGTTCAAATCCCTGGCATGTTTTACTCCATTTAAATTGTATCCATTATAATATTTTTAATACTCTGTAACATATTTCTCTCCAGGGGGAGCTAGTGGAGTATTACTATTATTGGAAGAAGACCCCTGCAGCTCAAACAGCCAGACCCCACAGGAGACATCGCAGGACAGGGGTGCTCCGTAAACAGGCACGCACACCTCGTCCAATATCCAATGAATACTGTAAGTTGAAATTGGTCACCATTTTACGAACATGTGAACTTAGACGTAAACTTTGTATAAATTTTGAAATTAGGATACACTCAGCTGAGAAGGTGCGAAACTGACGCTTAAGGTCTGTTTGATTTTGGGCTTAAGATACAGGTTTAAGTCATGGGAAAGAATGGATATGAAAGATGTCCAAGGAAAATAATGCTGAATAATATTATATATAAACGTGTATTAAATAATTTTCTGCATTTTTTTAGTGGATTCATCAGCTAGTGAGGTTTCTGATTTGGACTCAGCAGATGAAAGTGACAGTCGAGACTTGACAGGTTATTCGTGTAGACACTGTGACACTACAAGTAAGTAGTCAGATAGAAAGTAATAAAAATATGAATGAATTTATTTTAAATAAAAGAATGAAATAGCAGGTATAGATATATTTTGCATCTCCATATCTGAAAAATTATTAGAAATAATGAAAATCCAATCCAATCTTTTCTCTGACACTGTGCTTGTATTGACTTGAAAACTCTCATATTTTTAACTGGAAGTTATTACTTGTTGACGCATGTTTATACATTCAAATGTTTACAATGAATGCATTTTATACACATTGAAATGTTCACCTGAATTGTGAATTCATATTTTATATTTGTAGCTTCTAAAGACTGGCACCATGCTGGCAAAGACAAAGCGCTCCTATGCACTAAATGTAGACTATTCTACAAGAAATATGGTGAAGATCGGCCACTAGATGACTCTCCTTTCTTGTTCAAACCAGTGAAAGATGAAGATGAAACCTTAAACGGGAAGCCAATTATGCGAACTCGTAGATCAAGGGAATCGGTGAGTTGGACTTTTTGAAAACATTTTTTGGGAGATACTGTAAGTTGAATTATGGTCTATTATGGATTAGTTCTCCCCTTTGTAAGATTCACTTGCTGTCTGTTAGTCCATAATTAATAGATATAATAGGGGCAATTAAATAGTTTTAAACAACTTTATTGAGAAGCTAATGAGTGACCTCATCAAATACAAATACAACTAGAGACACCTATCTGAGTCTTAAAGGCTCATGTTTGTAATATCACATGACACTTGCCAGATTGCAAAGAAAGGTAAAAGAAAATAATAATTTGTGTAATTTGGTTCCTGGAAAAACCAAAGGAGAGGGATATAGTAATCCCTAGGGGTAATCAATTATAAGGGATGCACATGAGTTATAAGAAAAGGTTAAAACAAGTTTAATGCATATCACTTCAAACTTGGATGGTCTAGTTGTCAAGGTTCCAGTGCTCTCTCAGGCAAACTGGAACACTGAAGCACAGTTTAAAAGATATATCTATCTACTTTTCCTTTTGTAGGGCAAGACAAAGTTAAAGAAGGACCGCCAACAGACAAAAGACAGTGAGGAAGACATGACATGTCTGCTCAATAGCTCCGCAATATCACAGAAAATTGGTCGGAAGTCTCCTAGTTCTGCCTCCACTTGTAGCAGCAGCAGCTCAGATAACAAAACCACAAAGGTACATATTTGTAATATACAGGGTGGGCAGTGTAATAACAAAACCACAAAGGTACATATTTGTAATATACAGGGTGGGCAGTGTAATAACAAAACCACAAAGGTACATATTTGTAATATACAGGGTGGGCAGTGTAATAACAAAACCACAAAGGTACATATTTGTAATATACAGGGTGGGCAGTGTAATAACAAAACCACAAAGGTACATATTTCTAATATACAGGGTGGGCAGTGTAATAACAAAACCACAAAGGTACATATTTGTAATATACAGGGTGGGCAGTGTAATAACAAAACCACAAAGGTACATATTTCTAATATACAGGGTGGGCAGTGTAATAACAAAACCACAAAGGTACATATTTGTAATATACAGGGTGGGCAGTGTAATAACAAAACCACAAAGGTACATATTTCTAATATACAGGGTGGGCAGTGTAATAACAAAACCACAAAGGTACATATTTGTAATATACAGGGTGGGCAGTGTAATAACAAAACCACAAAGGTACATATTTGTAATATACAGGGTGGGCAGTGTAATAACAAAACCACAAAGGTACATATTTGTAATATACAGGGTGGGCAGTGTAATTACAAAACCACAAAGGTACATATTTCTTATATACAGGGTGGGCAGTGTAATAACAAAACCACAAAGGTACATATTTGTAATATACAGGGTGGGCAGTGTAATAACAAAACCACAAAGGTACATATTTCTAATATACAGGGTGGGCAGTGTAATAACAAAACCACAAAGGTACATATTTGTAATATACAGGGTGGGCAGTGTAATAACAAAACCACAAAGGTACATATTTCTAATATACAGGGTGGGCAGTGTAACAACAAAACCACAAAGGTACATATTTGTAATATACAGGGTGGGCAGTGTAATAACAAAACCACAAAGGTACATATTTCTAATATACAGGGTGGGCAGTGTAATAACAAAACCACAAAGGTACATATTTGTAATATACAGGGTGGGCAGTGTAATAACAAAACCACAAAGGTACATATTTGTAATATACAGGGTGGGCAGTGTAATAACAAAACCACAAAGGTACATATTTGTAATATACAGGGTGGGCAGTGTAATAACAAAACCACAAAGGTACATATTTCTAATATACAGGGTGGGCAGTGTAATAACAAAACCACAAAGGTACATATTTGTAATATACAGGGTGGGCAGTGATATGATTGATAACAAAACCACAAAGGTACATATTTGTAATATACAGGGTGGGCAGTGTAATAACAAAACCACAAAGGTACATATTTGTTTGTAATATTCAGGGTGGGCAGTGATATGTGTGATAACAAAACCACAAAGGTACATATTTGTTTGTAATATACAGGGTGGGCAGTGATATGATTAATAACAAAACCACAAAGGTACATATTTGTAATATACAGGGTGGGCAGTGATATGATTAATAACAAAACCACAAAGGTACATATTTCTAATATACAGGGTGGGCAGTGTAATAACAAAACCACAAAGGTACATATTTCTAATATACAGGGTGGGCAGTGTAATAACAAAACCACAAAGGTACATACATATTTCTAATATACAGGGTGGGCAGTGTAATAACAAAACCACAAAGGTACATATTGCTAATATACAGGGTGGGCAGTGATATGTTTGATTACAAAACCACAAAGGTACATATTTCTAATATACAGGGTGGGCAGTGTAATAACAAAACCACAAAGGTACATATTTGTAATATACAGGGTGGGCAGTGATATGATTGATAACAAAACCACAAAGGTACATATTTGTAATATACAGGGTGGGCAGTGATATGATTGATAACAAAACCACAAAGGTACACATTTGTTTGTAATACTCAGGGTGGGCAGTGATATGTGTGATAACAAAACCACAAAGGTACATATTTGTTTCTAATATACAGGGTATTCAGTGATATGTGTGATAACAAAACCACAAAGGTACACATTTTTGTAATATACATGGTGGGCAGTGATATGTGTGATAACAAAACCACAAAAGTACACATTTGTTTGTAATATTCAGGGTGGGCAGTGATATGTGTGATAACAAAACCACAAAGGTACACATTTGTTTGTTATATTCAGGGTGGGCAGTGATATGTGTGATAACAAAACCACAAAGGTACACATTTGTTTGTAATATTCAGGGTAGGCAGTGATATGTGTGATAACAAAACCACAAAGGTACACATTTGTTTGTTATATACAGGGTGGGCAGTGATATGTGTGATAACAAAACCACAAAAGTACACATTTGTTTGTAATATACAGGGTGGGCAGTGATATGTGTGATAACAAAACCACAAAGGTATACATTTGTTTGTAATACTCAGGGTGGGCAGTGATATGTGTGATAACAAAACCTCAAAGGTACATATTTGTTTGTAATATACAGTGTGGGCAGTGATATGTGTGATAACAAAACCACAAAGGTACACATTTGTTTGTAATATACAGGGTGGGCAGTGATATGATTAATAACAAAACCACAAAGGTACATATTTGTAATATACAGGGTTGGCAGTGTAATAACAAAACTACAAAGGTACATATTTGTAATATACAGGGTGTGTAGTGATATGATTAATAACAAAACCACAAAGGTAAAATGCACATTTGTTATATACTGAGTATTTCTGATGACAAAACAACAAAGGTAAAATGCACATTTGTTATACTGAGTATTTCTGATGACAAAACAACAAAAAATCACTTATAATATGCAGGTTGGGCATTTAAAAAAGATTTTATAAACACTAACCTCAGTGTTGGAATCAAAACCTGATTCACCCTTTGTTATTTGTGTGATGTATCCAATATAGCCACTTCTATTTAAGGATATTAGTATATCTTTATTTAAGAGTAAAATTGAGTGGATAGCAATCAGTACTATATTATGTTATTTTGGATTTTTAACTTAAACAATTATTTTAAAATATTTCAGCAGCCAAACTCTGAATCCAGTGAATCAGTTCAACCAATCCAGATCAAAAAGGTAATAACTTATGATACATTGATGTTCTGGCATCTGAAATTAGGCAATTGCAATCTGCCTCATGCCTGATCACACCCATGCCTTGAATGATAACCTCATGCCTAATCACAACCATGCCTGTAATGATTACCTCATGCCTGATCACACCCATGCCTGTAATGGTTACCCCCAAAAGAACTGAAACTCTTTGTTGCTGATAAAAATGTCTAATTAAATTATACAGTTATAAATATAAAGTTTCAGCCAGAATAAGTTTTTTCTCAAATATCCATTTTCAAGAAATCAGGTGTCAAATGAAATTGTTTTTAAATGTATTGTGATGTGATTGTTCCAGGAACCAACAGAGAGCCAATCAGAATCATCGTCAGAGAGTAGCAGCATATCTGGTAATGAAGAAAATGGAATAGACGCTGATATTGAAACTAATCAGGAAGATGCATCATCTGGCTCAGAAAGTGTCCCTAGTTCAAGGGAAAATGACCAAGATTATAAACCCCCATCATACATAAAGACTGAACCAATAGAATGTCCCATATCTGGGTCACCCATAGATTTCACATGTAAACCACCCTTTGAGGATACCAAATCTGGCGAGTCTCCAACCATTAAGGTACCCGAACCAGTAATTGTTGTGCCTCATATTAAATCTGAACCTATTGAGCCTGAAGAGCAAGAAACAGAAAATCCTACAGATGTAGAGGACTCTATACCACTTGAACAATTAAGGTTGATTGACCAGTCACACCTTCCACGACATCAACCAATAGATCAACAAGATGGTGTAGAGCATCAACATCTACTGGTGCATTCACCAAAATCAGTAGAACAAACTCAAACAATTGAACATCCAGGCTTCCTCCCCCACAGGATGGATATGCCTAGATCTGGACTTAGACAAGATACACATAGGACTGATATCCTAAGGCCTGATGTGCAACTTCCAAATTTAGTTAAATCAGACTTGAACAGAACTGAGTTATTAAGACCAGATATTCTAACTAGGCCTGATTTATTGAGGCCTGGGTTACCTTTAAGGCCCGATTTACCCCCAAGGTCTGATTTACCCCAAAGGCCTGATTTACCCCAAAGGTCTGATTTACCCCAAAGGCCAGATTTACCCTCAAGGCCTGATTTACCCCCAAGGCCTGATTTACCCCAAAGGCCTGATTTACCCCAAAGGTCTGATATACCCCAAATGCCAGATTTACCCTCAAGGCCTGATTTACCCCTAAGGTCTGATTTACCCCAGAGGCCTGAGGTACACAGTGGGCCATTTGACTATCACCACCCATATCCCAGTGAGCATAGTCTACCTCACTCTTTAGTTCCTCCCCTAGAGCATCGAATAGAGTCAGAGACCCCCAGTTCTCGAATAGAACACCCAAAGGATAACCAATCTGATGAGCCCCCAAGCAAGAGGGCCAGGTCAAATTCACCAGCTAATATTGACCTTAGTGTCGTCAAACAAGAAGTGGATATTGATGTGCAGGTTGATAGTGATTCAGAACCAGAGCCTGATAGAGGACCAACTCCAGAGCCACAGCAATGTTATGAGGAACTTCACAAGAGCAAATCTGCAATGTGAGTAATTGGGTCATAATATTAATGTAAATTAGGAGTTGGGTTAAAATATCAATGCGATTAAGTATTTCATTAAAATGTGGGCGTCTCACTTAATTTTGTCTATGCTTTTGGGCACTCTGGGCAAATGTTAGGGTGACCATTTTGGATTTTCCGTTCCACGTCTTGTTTACCATTTTCCAAGCAAACCATTCATCTGATCTAATGTACAGTCTTATCTGCATCAAACTGTTTACTGATTCTTCCGAAATTTCAAAGGATGTTTTTGAATAGGTTTCAAAAATATTTGAGTTTTTTGGCATTTTGAGTAAATGTTATTAGGTGACCCTTTTAGACTTTCCAACCTGGAACCTGTCTATTCTATTCAAGGGTGCTATATTGTTCAGCCTGTGTCTTGTTAACGGGTTAGGTTAATGGCATTGTTTATCTAGGAGTTAATCTAGGAGAGGTGGAAATGTCAATGTACAGGGTGTCAAATAAGTCCCCCCCCCCTGCTACAGCTAAAACCTTAACAGACAGTACCTAGTGTGATATACCATTGGAAAGATCATCCAAAGTTATGTTAACTCAGACAACTCTCAAGTATTTTGGATGAAATTTACCTATATTTTTATGATGTCTTATATAGTTAACGTGCCCTCCTTTAAGTAGCCTTTTTGCGTCAAAATGACAAGGATATGACCTCAGAAATACGTCAAAAAGTATTATAATACTTTTCGCATTCCACTTGTTACAAAAAGGTTTTCACCACTTTCCTTGCACCTCTATTTTCTACACATCTAACCCTATCCAGAAATTGGTTAAATTCATCGCCATAAACATTTCATCTTTTGGTCCCTTGACCTTTCTTATACCCGATTCTTAAAATCCTGACAAATACGCCAAATTGCCATGTTTCTAGGCATATGGTCACTTCAATTGATTTGTAAAAAATTGTGAGATTGAGTGACATGTGTCAGATATATGCCAATCAACGTAACTTTGGAAGACCTTTCCAATGATATATCACACTTGGTACCAAATATCTTGGTTTTGGCTGTAGAGGGGGGGACGGGACTTATTTGACACCCTGTATATTAAGCAGTTAGGTAAGGTTAAATGTAGATAAAGGAGTATAGGTATGGTTGATCCCATAAATGTACCTACATGTCCTAAGTCAAAGTTGTTTAAGGAAAAAACTCTTCTCCCAAAGACAACTTATTATCCCATCGAACGAAGTTCGGAGGGATATAGGGAACGCCTCCGTCCGTTAGCAAACTAAGTAAAAAATATGAAATCAAAAAGGCAGCAGACCAAAAACAAAGAGAGGACAAGGAGTCCTACTGGATAAAGAAATTCCAATGTGTACACCCATACGGATTAAACAACAGACTGGAGAAAAATCTTCAGCAAAGAACAGAAGATGATGTAATATACAACGACTTTGATAACAAACGGAAGAAGAAAAACAAAAGGCCAAAGGGAAACCACCGTAAAGAAAAGGCATTAAAAGCCAATGACGTATTTGAAACTATAGTGGAACAAAGCAATGGAAATGTACTGGCAGGTATGAAAACAATCTTGAGATTAGTCCCACAAATGAAGAAGACAGAATTGAAAAAACTTGGAATGATAAATATAGAAGATAATGATAGACTACACACACGACTTAAAATTACTCTGGAGGACAGAATCCAATCAAAACTTAGGAAAAACAATGAACTAAAAACCAAGAATAGGAAAAAGAAACCAACAAAATTCTGTAAAATACTATTTGAAAACAAAGCAGTAGAAGTAATCAACATTGCAAATATCTTAAGAGATGAAGAAGTGATCAAGACAATACCTTCAAGTATCAAAAATAAGGAACCACCAGGAATTGTCTATATATACACAAAACCAATAAGGAATAAATTGTTCAACTATAGTGAGATTACAGAAAGTATCGACGAAGGCAACAATACAGGAGAATGTGATTGTAATACATCTGAATTTAAGGATGAAGACCATGGTCACATCATAACAGGAAATCTGAAGATTATACAAAATTCAAAATTGAGAAAGCTATTTAGTAAAGGTCCTGGCTATAGAGAAAAACGAAACATTAACTTCAGGAAAGCAAAAGAAGAAATAAAGAAAGGAATAGATGAATATGCAATAAGTTGGACAAAAAATGAAAAAGTTTCAAAAGTATACTTAAATGAATGGAAAAATACTGTAATGGAAAAGGTTAAACAAAAGATTGAGTTACTTCAAAATACAAAATTTAGACATATTAAAAATCCAAAGCAGACACTAAAGGACCATAATGCTATGGAAGAACTCAATCAACTCAAGGAAAAATATGCCATTGTACCTATTGATAAGGCAGCAAATAATATTGGGTTTATGTGCAAACAATACTACATAAAGAAGATTAAAGAGGAAATTGGGAGTGACACCTATCAAAGGATAGAAGATAAAGGAGAAGAAGATATAGTGGAGGAAATCAAAGAGACAATGAAAACAAAATTCAAGATTGAACCGGGAGAAGAACAAAATATTATACCAAGGATTCATCTTACAATTAAAATGCATAAACAGCCAATTAAATTTAGATATATCATTGGCTCAAAGAAAAGTTCTGTAAAACCAGCTGCCAAAAAACTGACCAAAATTCTTAAACTAGTGCAATATACTAACAAAAGATACTGTGAGAAGATTAAGGATTATACAGGTGCCAATAGGATGTGGATCAGTGACAATAACCAAAATATGTTAGATAACATTAAAAGTGTAAATTTAAGGAACGGGGCAAGAAACATAGCCTCGTATGATTTCTCTACACTATACACAAAGATTAATCTAACTGACATAAAGGAAAAACTGAAATGGGTGATAGATAAAGCCTTCAGAGGAGGAACTAACCAAAAGATAACAGTAGGTGGAGATGAAGCCAAATGGGGTGGAAAGGCGGATAATAAAAAGGCATATACCAAAGGAGAGTGCAATGATCTAGTGGATTTCATCGTGGATACAGCCTACTTTAAAGCAGGGAAATCAATTCTAAGACAGAAAATTGGAATACCGATGGGAATCGATCCGGCGCCATATATGGCAAACCTATACTTATACAGTTATGAATTTCAAGCCATTGAGAAAATGTATAGGGAAGACTACTCCAAAGTACTAAAATATGCTAAAACTACAAGATTCATCGATGATTTATGTACTATAAACAACGACAGAGAAATGGAGACTGATATGAAGAACATCTATCCTGAAGAACTAGTGTTAAACAAGGAAAATGAGAAGGATACAGAAACAACTTTTCTGGACATACAAATGAAAATAGTAAATAAACAAATCACTACAAAACTATACGACAAAAGGGAAAACTTCAATTTCCAAATAGTCTCATATCCTGATCTATCTGGAAATATTCCTAAAAACCAATCTTATGGAATATTTATATCACAAATAATAAGGATTTCAAGAATCTGCAGTCAACTGGAAGATGCAACAAACAGAGTTACCAGCCTGGGAAATAAACTACAATGTCAAGGCTACAGGAGCAACATACTAAATTCGTATACTAAGAAAGCTATAACAAGAAATAAATGGATATGTACTAAATACAATATGCAGGAGAATATCATCATGAAGGACTGGAAAATTAATGAGAGAAGAGAACATTAACAAATGAATATGAAACAGTATCTTCTCCGCAAAGAGGGTAAACTAAGATGACAAATCAGCATAAGACCAACAGTAAGGGGAAGGGGAGAGTTTTCCGGCCGGATCAAAACGTTTAACCCACCTATGCGCAGTCTCAAGTCTGTGGACCCTGAAGAAAGATAAGTAACATCGCAATCAAATCAAGACAAAGAAAGAAGAAAATGAATGAAGAAACCAATGCAGCAACAACAAATGACGTCCGTCCATCCGTCCGTCTGTCTGTCCGTCCGTCCGTCTGGGCAATAACTCAAATTCCGTTGGCCCGATTTTGTTCATATTTTGTACACATATACCCTATGGGGGTAGAAGTTCTGCTCGAAAGTCGATTTTCAAAATGGCCACTCATTTCAAAATGGCAGCCATTTTAGTGACGATTTTACAGTAATTTAGATGCAATATGTAAAACTGTAATAGCAATATGTTTTAAATGTAAAAAAATTATAAAGGACATTAATAATGCTACAAATGTAGATATTAAAAAAGCACATGGCAGCCATCTTGAAAAATGGCGGCCTTTACTCGTCATTTTACAATTTTTGCTATAACTCAAAAAATAGTGGAGCGATTTTGTTCATATTTGGTGTGTGAATACTATAAGCATTGCACACTGTCTAAAGACACTTTTGGTAGAAGGCGGCCATTTTGAAAAATGGCCACCATTTTGACGTATTTTACTATTACTCGAATAGTAGTGGAGCGATTTTGTTCATATTTGGAATGTGAATACTATAAGCATGGCACACTGTCCTATGACACTTTTGGTAAAAGGCGGCCATTTTGAAAACAATTTTGAAAAATGGCAACCATTTTAACGTATTTTACTATAACTCGAAAAGTAGTGGAGCGATTTTGTTCATATTTGGTATGTGAATACTTTTAGCATGGTACACCGTCTATTTCTAATGACGCTTTTGGTAGAAGGTGGCCATTTTGAAAAATGGCCGCCATTTTAACGTATTTTACTATAACTCGAAAAGTAGTGGAGCGATTTTGTTCATATTTGATATGTGAATACTTTAAGCATGGCACATTGTCTAATAAAACTTTGGGGAGTACTCGGCCATTTTGAAAAATGGCCACCATTTTTAGACTCCAGATGAAATCTGGAGTCTATTGTTTTCGTCAGTTTTCTTATTCTTCTTCTTATTATTCTTTTTATTATTCTTATTCTAACCCAGTTTTCTCAATAACCATAAGGTTTTCAGTAAAGTCAGTCATTTGGTCAATTTAGGTCCAGAATCTAGTTCCTCGGAAATTGGGTCAAATTTTTATCTAGGTCAAAGGTCAAGAACTAGGTCAAATCC